ATTCATTCAGCATTCGGGTGGGGGCGGATTAGAATCTTTAACCCCAGGCCTGACGGGATAGCCAGCTCTTGAGGGCTGCGCGGAAGGTCTGAAGGGTGGTGAGGGTACGAATCTCCATGGGGGGATCGTTCCAAAGGGTCGGAGCTGCCACCGAGAAGGCTCTCCTCCGGGTAGTGGCCAGCCGGCACTGGCTGGCAGATGGCACTCGGAGGAGGCCTAATCTGTGAGATCTTATAGGTCTCGAGGATTAAAGATATTTAAAATTGTATAGCTTTGGTTATACTTATATTTAAAACATACAAAGCATACATTTTTACCTTGAATGAGGCCGATGAGCATGACCATTTGTATCTAATCCTAATAAGTGCAGGAAGAAAATGATTTTTTGTTCATGAAGTTTAGAAAACAATGTTTCATTGTTTTTAGCCAAGTTGAAGAAATCCTAGAACAGAAAACCAAGTAAATTACTCTGAGCACCAGAAACGGTTCTAACCAGAAAGTTAGAACTTTTGTATCAGCAATCATCACGCAGAAGAACCTGGAAGGAAGACATTTAGATAAATTCCTCTATAGGATGTGGACCCTATATTCATTTCTACAAACCCTCAGATTCTTTTCCCATTGACTTTTACGGTATAACAAAAAGAAATTCGAAGTAAAAATACTGAAGGAATACTGAATACTTAGGTAGCAGGAAGTAGGAATATTCATAATTTAAAGACATCAGTTCTCTTTGCATTCTGCAACAGAAATCTCTCATTCTTTCTTCAGATGGAAATACGGGCACGTACTACAAATAACGGACAAGAAAATCCAACCTAAAATTGTCCTAAATACTGAACACTACCTAAAAGCCAACTTTATTTAAAATGCACCACACTGTTTTTAAAAAAAAAAACCCAGAAACAACAAGGAGTAAAGGAGATAGCACAAATTTGCCAGCTATAATCTGCCAGTCACATCAAAGGGATCCAAAATGAAGATTTTTATTCACCTTAACCTGGTCAAAAACCCAAGTGTCCAGTATAGTGGCATCTTCAGCTGCAAAGTCCTCTCTTTCAGCTTTATAGCAATTGGTGTAAACGTGATCACCAGTAGCCCCTGCAAACATTCCAGATGAAGAGAAGGATTAGTATATTTTTTTATTCAGTTTGCCTAAGTCTTCTCAAAACGTATTTTAGCTTCACTCAAAGGTACTTGAAAGTACCAAGAGTTGTTTCACACCAGCTCTTAGAAGCTGCTCACACACTTTTACATGGATAATTTCGCTAAAAAAGATATTTCCTTCTATCGATATGTAAACAGCTACCAAAATGATGGGAAGCTAGTAACAGGAGTCTTGGGCTTATAACAAACTTCTTCTCAAACAAAGCATAATATTATATAGTCATTATGGCAGCCCAAGACCCTTGCACAGTACTGAATATGTTTTTGTTTTTATTTTTTACTTTTTGAGGAAAATTAATCTACCAATGATCGAGGCAGTATTTTAAAAACATGCATGGACTAAAATAGTCAGAAGACAAATTCACTGAAAATCCCCAAATTGTATCCACAATTATAGTGCTTCAGGAGAACATTTAGTGCAGAGGTTCATGTTGTCATCAAACAAGGATGACCATCAGACTTTGTATGTCCTACATAGGGTTTTTCTGGGAAATGAACATTCAAAAGACTTCTGGTTATTGCAATTAATTATAAATATTTTAATATTTTATAAACAAAGAATAATTAACTCTAAGATACGCTCACCTTTAGCAAACATAGGTAGAATATCTGGACTTCCCCAGCTCCAAGTATATTTACTTTCGTTGAAAATAGAATCAAATTCCACCGGATTTTCTTTCCATCCTGTAAATCAAAAGATGCTTTGCTGAAGCTATTTGCTTTTTTTAAAGATAGAAAAGTAAGATTTGGTGCCAGTTGTTAAAAGCTATAAAGGCATTATGTTCACTTGGAGAAAGTGAATCTACATCATCACATTTAATTAGCAAGTTACATACTTATTTTTAACATGGGGAAATTATCATTTTTGTGTAGAAAATTTGAAAATAGTTCAAAATTCTTACATAGAAATAATAATTTTCAATTTACTTTTCTGTCAATGTTTACTAAAAATTGCCTGAAGAATCTATCTGAAAAACATCAATGGTATTGGAAATTTCAAAGAAAGGTCATAAATATTATTGTGAATTAAATTAAAAGAAGCTGCAACTTTACATGATACTATAATATTATTCATATATAGTATCATGTAAAGTTGCAGCTTCTTTTAATTATGACTTATTAAACAATTCATACAAATAAAACAATACTGGATTCTTTTGACTATCCTTTCTTTGTTTTCATTTGTTTCCCCAAATTTCCTCTTGCATTTCCAGGAATTTGTTTGAGGTCTAAAATAGGCATAAAAATGAGCCGGGGATCTCAGAAACCAGCAAATGATAGTTATTTTACTTCGTGACCCGACAAATGCGCGCACGACAAAAGCGCACCGACAAAACCATGGCGCTAAAACCGCAACATCATCAACACGACGTCATCAACGCGGCGACAACAGCGCGCAGGCAGAAGCGCGATTTAAGTTAAGGTAAGGGTTAGGTTTAGGGTTAGGTTTAGGGTTAAGGTTAGGGTTAGGGTTAGGTTTACAGCGCGCTTCTGTTGCTGTGCTGTTGTCGCCGTGCTTCAGCGCTCATTCGTCGGCATGCTTTAGAACTCGCGGTTTTGTCATTGTGGTTTAGTCGGGCACGCTTTTTTCGTTCGCCCTTTTGTCGGTGAACCATTTTATTTTATTCTATATGTCTCCATTCACACATCATACTAAAGTATCATTGTAAGCAAGAAGCCAACAAGCCATTGCTTCAAATGGCTATCCTATTCTGTAATATAACATGCTGTACAATCAGCAATATATATAAAGAAGGGTTCATTTTTATTTTCTTATAATATGAATGAATATATAAATTCATACATGTATAGGGAGGGAGGGGGGAGAGAGAGAATGAGAATGAGAATGAAATTAGGACTGCAGTTCTGTTCAGATTTATTTAAGAACATACCCCACTAAAGCTAATGATAATCATACACAGTATTGTGCTGCAAATATCATTTAGGCACAGTAATAAAAGTTGAACACTAGTCTCAAACGCTAATACCTGATTGCATTTAAGTTGTGTTCTCATAATGGAAAGCTGACATACTGCCATAATTCTACAAAGTAGTAGCCCCCATTTACAAAAGATTAAATGAGTGGATTTCAAAGGCATAGACTGAGTTCTTTAATATACTAAAATAAAATGAAATAAACCACGTTGTGGTTTATGATGAAACGTAAGCTTACCCAGGTATGATTACAGTCATTCAATAAAGCATAATTAACCAAACTACAGCTTAACACCACTGTCTCATTTTCCATTTATATCAGAGGTCTTCCAGAATAATAAAGTAGGATAGGATGCAGAGAAAATTGCCACAAATCGGCAATCTAATTTACACACAGCAGTTCCTGTGTTCCTTGTATAGCGAAAGGAGCTGCAAAAGACCCAAAAAGTCCTTTAGCAATAGCAATAGCAGTTAGACTTATATACCGCTTCATAGGGCTTTCAGC